TGTAAAACAGTTGTGATTGATTACATTTGAAATATTTTGCATGAGGAGTTGATCAGTAAAAGATAAAAACTGGAGGGAGGGATTTCATAGATCCCTCGGAGAGTTGCGGAGTCTCCTTCTTTGGAGGTTTTTAAACAGAGGCAGAATGGCTGTCTGTCAGGAGTGCTTTGATTGTGAGTTCCTTCATGGCAAGGGCTTGGACTGGATGGTCCTTGTGGTCTCTTCCAACTCTATGATTCTATATGCAAAAAACCTCTTAGGTGAACAGAAGTGCCTTTTGCCCATGCAAGGTGACTTTGGCTCCATTTTGTAGTAAACTGCCATGATTGTCAAAGTCACACTGCTTGCCTTATTATATCTGACAGTTACAGCTTCCCGACAGCCTTCTGCATATCCCCCAGATCTTCTTCAAAGGGTTGGGGTAACCCTTGGAGGCCACAATCAAGTAAATACGCTAAGACATACAAGGTTGTGATAGCTAAACCATTTTATTTAAAATATTTATATTCTCCTTTTTTGCTGCTAGCTTTAGGTACCTTGTAGACATTACTCTCCTTCAGTTTCTAATTCGACAGTGCAATAGTACAGATATCTGTTTCTGTTAATGCAATTTAATGTGCATATGAATCAAACAGCTGCTTTTTAAATTCCTCTATAAATTTTACTTGAAATATGTATATCACACCACTCAAACTTTGTTTCCAAGGAAGTTACCATATGAATTAAAGACAACAATATCAACAGCAATAAAATAATTGTGACCTAATAATTTTGTTCATCTGCACTAAAATAATTAGCACATTATTTAGGTTGTCTTAATTCTGTTGTAGGGGTATAATCAAAGGCACAGTAGCTTAACTGAAGGGTCCTCTACAAAAGAGAAATATGAATAAGGTCTGCATATTTTACTGCCAAGGCTTTATAAGCGATCCAAATGTCAGTGTGAATGGAGCAAATGTAAAATTTGAACAGGGCCTTTCATCTATGTCTGCATCCACACTGCAGAAATAATCTGATTTGACACTACTTTAACTGCTTAATGCTTTATCTGCCATGGCTTAATGCTATGCAATTCTGGGAATTGTAGTTTGCTCTGGTGCCACAACAAACTGCAGTTCCCAAAATTCCATAGCATTGAATCGTGGAAGTTAAAGTGGTGTCAAACCAGATTATTTCTGCAGTGTGGATGCAGCCTATGTTAAAGCTTTAGAACAGATAATGAGAATAGATCCAAATTTTTATCAGTCATTTGGGAGCAACCAATTAAATATTCAAACTTAACAGTAACTTGCCTTCTGTTATTTAAGAACTGATCGTATTTAACCACCTAAGAAAGGAGTAATACTGCTTATGAAGGAAGCTGTGTGATTACGGACCATAAAGATGTAAAAATACTCCTGTATTTCTTCCATTGTGGAATGTTGCTTTCTGTAACCATAGAAGATCTTTGTGTCAGCTTTTAATTGTGACCTATTCTGTAAGTCATGTTAGAATTTTGACACCTTGTAAGCCTCCCACTGCCATCTATTTCAAAAGGTGTATGTTATGTTCTCTTTTCATCTCGAGTTTTTATGTATTTGTATTTTGAATTACAAACTTGTAGTTGCTACCAACAGAGAGGATGTTCAGTACATGGGATGTCTTGTGTTAAGAATTAGCTATTTCTGTACTTAAAAAAAGGTTAATAAGCTTGTTATCAAGTTTTCTTGCAGCACCCCCAAAGGGGAAAGTGTTCTCTCTGTGACTTTTGGATTTCTTTGGAACAAGGCAAATGTAATAATACCTTATTTTCCTGCGTATAAGACTACTTTTTAACCTGCAAAATCTGTGGTTAAAGTAGGGGGTCGTCTTATACGCCGGGTATAAGGATAGAGGTGCTAAAACTGTATATTCTGACTGGAAAAATGGGGGGGTCGTCTTATATGCCGGGTCGTCCTATACGTCGGAAAATACGGGTACCTTGTTAGTTTAATGAGGAATGCTGCTTAAGAATATAAGGAAATTATTTTGAGTAATATGTGAATTCTACCCAAAATATTTAATCAATATTTTCTAAAATATGTGTTCATTATTTTGTAGTACTTTAATTAGCATAATGAGAACAGTACAGATTCAAACAGTTCATTGAAAATGAACAAACATTAATTATTCGCTTGAAATATCCAGGCTAATTAAATACATTTATGATTTTTTTTAAACAAGGAAAGTCTAAATATATCTACTTTTTACAAATCAAGGACATTTAAGGCATATGACTGGGGAAATATTCTCCATTAGGACTAGCATAGCTTTGATGTAAAGCCACAAAACAGGCTCTAGTTCCCCAGTAAATTCATGGTGAAAGCCCTATGTTATATGGATAGCAATGCCTAAGTGAATCCAGTTATCTGTGATTACAAGCAGTACTATGGATTGAGTTTATACTTCTATTCCAGTGTAATATTTCTACACAGTTATGATATCAAGATTAATCCCATGTTGTAGAAATTTACTTGGATAGGAAGTTTATGCCTATTCCTATTTATACAGGAAGTTTGCTTCCTCTCCTACCCACATAAGATTGTCTTCAAAGATTACCCAACCCATTGAAAAATATTTGCGGGAATGTGCACAGGGCTGTAGGGAAGCAGAAATATCATCCACTAGCCAGTCTTCCAACAGAAAAACACTGTTGGATGTAGCCCATTAATTAAAATACTTATTATCTGCCCTTTGTCTGAAGATCTCAGGGCAGTTTGCAACCAAATCAACTTAAAACAATAAAGAATTACATTTTACATGTATCCTTTTTATTTGGGACACAATCTGTAATACAAAAAGTTTAGAACCTGTTGTTTGTGTTCCTACTTGTGTGAGTTGGTCAGAGGTGGGGAAGACAACTTTTGGATTGCAACATCCAGAATTCCCCTTCAGTATGGTAGGATTTTGGGAGTTGTAGATAAAAAGTAACTTTCCTGAGATTTGGAATCCCCATGGAACATCTTCATTCCACTGAGGGTAAACTGAGATTGCTAAAGTGGCTGCATGTTTGACAGTACAGTAGCTTCACATAAAGAATTTTCTGCTGTTTTTCCATGGAAAATGAAGCACAGTGAATTTTTTATTTATTTCAAAGATTTATATCCTTTCTTTTTCCCACAATGGCAGGTTACAATAATTAAAAACAACAAC